TATATTTTTAGTTGTCCAATTAATTTCTTTCTATTTTTAGAAGAGACGGGGTCTCGCTCTTGCTCAGGCTGGTCTCAAACTCCTGAGCTCAAACAATCCGCCTGCCTCGGCCTCCCAGAGAGCTAGGATTACAGGCGCGTGAGCCACCGCTCCCAGCCCAAACAGGTAACTTTTCAAAAGCACATCAATACATAGTGTAAAAAACAAAGTCCTCAGGCCTTTGAAATGTAAATTATGTTTAACACACGTAACTAGGTAGTACTGAAATCTGATTCTGCATGTAAAATGTACTGTCTCCTTACCTCACTAGGACGCTGAGAGCTCCTAGTGGAGTCACTAGCGTGGCTGGTGCAAACGCGTATGCAGCAAAGTTGGCCACCTCGCCAGCTCCCACTTGAAGAGAGAAAACAAAAGAGAAGCTCCCAGATAGGAATACATGTAATAACTTGGAAATACATGCATTTTATGTAACATCTATATGTTATTTCAACTGTACTTAGTAACTTCTGCATTTTCTATCTATTAAAAAGGGTCATGGGTCTGTAAATTTCTAACATTAGAATAGAGTCTAAGTCAATTAGAAACAACCCATATCTATAATTTTAAAGAGATATTTATATCCTAGGACAACAAATACAAATCACTTAAAAGAAGCCAACACTGATGTAAAGTCTTTTCTAATGGCTCCTCTTTTTAAAAACCCAACTCATTGTATGCCAGGTACTGTTCTAGAATCAGGAAATACAGCAGGGAGCAAAAGTTTTATGAGCATGATCCCTTTAGTAAGGGAAGACAGAGAAACCAAACACGTGTCAAGAAGCTAAAAAGTGCTATGAAAAGGCTCGGCACAGTGGCTCACACCTGTAATCCCAGCACTTTGGGAGGCCGAGGCAATGACTCAAATATCTTTTTACCCAAGATACTCTGCCATCCCTATTTATCCATGACATTGATTTAAGGAAAAAAAAAACTTGGAGAAAGTCTCACTTTCTGGATTTTGTCTGCTTCCATTTCGTATGTGCTATCTGTTCTGCCTAGTCTATGTTCTTCTTTCTTATCTTTATTGCTTTAAAAAATAATTTAGCATTCCATTCCTTCTTCCATTCATTAGGAATTACACACTTGTTCACATCTTTTGACTGAATACCCAAGAACTGCAATCCCCAATCCCCGCTGAGAAACCTAGGGCTGCACAGCAGCAAGTGAGCAGCAGGTGAGCCGGTGCAAGTTCATCTGTATTTACAGCCGCTCCCCATCACTTGCATCACCACATAAGCTCCACCTCCTGTCAGACCAGCAGTGGCTTAGATTCTTATAGGAGCGTGAACCCTACTGTAAATTGCGCATGTGAGGGATCTAGGCTGCACACTCCTTATGAGAATCTAATGCCTCATGATCGGTGGAGCTGAGGTGGTGATGCCTAGCACTGGGGAGTGGCTGCAAACACAGATTATGATTAGCAGAGCGGTTTGACTGCACAATAAATGTAATATGCTTGAATCATCCCAAAACCATCCTCCCACCACACCCCCATCTGTGAAAAATTGTCTTCAATGAAACCGGTCCTTGGTGCCAAAAATGTTGGGAAGCGCCACCCTAGAAAATACAACATGTATCCTTAGCCTGTCAAGTCTATAATGTTAATGTTTAACTTTGCTCTCCTTCCAGATATTGCCAGAACCTTAGAACCTTTTAATCTATTTTCTCCCTTCCAATAAATTTGTTGCAAATCTGTAATCTTTTCTTTTGCAAATCTGCAATGTTGCTATAGTCCAGTTTATTGTTAGAACTATAGTTCCTTGTAGTAAGCACAGTTGTTTTACTGTGTAATAATGAACACTGTTAAAATTTTATATATGGATATTTTAAGTCCATGAGCCATTTTTTATTAATTTTCTTCATCAGCACTCACTTGGATGTACTCACATACTTACCAATCTCCCTTCCTGTATCTCTAAACTTCCACCTAAATCAATTTCTTTCTGCTAACTAAGTACCCTTTTAAATTTGCTTTAGCATAGTTACATTATCTTTTATCTGGTTTTAATCTTAAAGGATATTTTCACTGAGTAGAGAATTCTAGTGCCAGCTACATTTTTAGCACTTTGAAGCTGTATTTCCAACTTGTTTATCTACTTCCAGTATTGCTGAAAACTAAGCAGTCAACCCAACATTTTTTTCCTCTGACTACTTTTAAGATATTCTATCTTTGGTTTTTCACCAGTTTTACTATGATGTGTTAGGTCCAATTTTCTTTTCACAGAGTCTGCATTGGTTTTGTGGGGCTTCTTGAATCTGTGGTTTGATAACTGGTCAGTTTTGGAAAATTCTCAGCAATTCAAAAACTGCTTCTCCTCCATTCTCTTTGTCCCTTCTTATTCTAAAACTCTAATTATTCACTGAATCCTCTAAGTTCCATAGCCCTCTTATCTGTATTTTCCATCCTTTTGTCTATGCTTGCTTCATTCTAGATAGTTTCTTCCCAACTACCTCCAGTTTACTTAGTCTCTCTTCAGCCTTACCAAACCTATAATTAAGGCAATTCACTCAATTTTCATTACTGCATTTTTTAATTCTATGCCTTTTTAGTTCTTCTCCAAATCTCTAATGTTACTGCAGTCCAGTTTATTGTTAAAACTACTGTTCCTTCTAGTAAGCACAGTTGTTTTATGGTTATACACTTCCAATATCTGTAGATCCTATGGGCCAAGTTTCTGTTTTTGCTAAATTTTCTTAATCTCATATACATTTTATTTATTTATTTATGTTTTTTATTTTTTGAGACAGGGTCTCACTCTACTGCCTGGGCTCAAGTGATCCTCCTGCCTCAGCCTTCTGCGTAGTTGGGATTACAGGTGCATGCCACCATGCCCAGCTAATTTTTCTATTTTTTGTAGAGACAGATTCTCACTGTTGCTCAGGCTGTTCTCAAACTCCTGGCCTCAAGTCCTTTTTTTAGATATCTTTTCTTTAATTACTTAATAAAAGTGGCTGGGTGTGGCAGCTCATGCCTATAATCTCAGCACTTTGGGAGGCCAAGGCAGTAGGATCACTTGAAGCCAGGAGTTCCAGACCAGCCTGTGCAACATAGCAAGACCCTGTCCCTACAAAAAATAAAAAATTAGCCAGGTGGGGTGGGCACATGCCTATAGTCCTGGATACTCAGTAGGCTGAGGCAAGAGGATTGTTTGAGCCCAGGAGTTCAAGGTTATAGCAAACTATGATCGGACAACTGCACTCTAGCGTGGGTGACAGACGGATACCCTGTCTCTAAACAAAAATGAAAATAAACAATATAAGGTAAAGATGATATTATATCTTCAGGGAAGAATTTTTACATTCTTTTGCAAGGTGCCAAAGAGCAGGACCAAGGCTAGAGTTATGCAGTATACACAAATGATCAGATAGTGTACACTCCCTGCTTCACTCCCAAGGTATAGCCTTCCTAGAGTACCAGCCCAGAGCAGGTGATTATTTCCTATTCTTGGCAGCACCAGACTCTGATCCTTGTTAGTCCAGTTCAAAGGTTCACTCTGTCTCTCAGCTGAATCCTCTAGAGTCTGCAGTTACCTCTAGTGCATAAGTATCTCCAGCTTATCCTTCTGAGCTCCAATCCTTTCCCTGATCTTGGCCAGGTAATTAATTCTTCACTATCATGTTAGCTCTTTGATACTTTTAAAAGGATGATTTTTATATTTTGTCTAGCTTTTTAACTTGTTTTCAGCAGGAATGTTGATTCAATTACCTAGTCCACCATTACCACAAGCACTATATTACTTTTGCTGTTCAGAAGTTTTATATAAAATGTTATTCTCAAGGTCACCATGGACTTCCATATAGCTAAACTCAACGGTCACTTTTCAATTCTCATTGTACCTATTCCACATCAGCACCATCTGACGCCAGCGAGCACCCTGCTCCCAAAACATTTTCTTCACTTGGCTCCCATGACACCAGGCTCACTTAGGCTCCTCCTGCTACTCTCACTGTTCCTTTTCAGCTCTTCCCACTTCTTCTTCTAACGGCTCTAAATGGACCCAGACTGCTCTTAGGTCTCTGATCTTGGGCCCCTTTTCCTATCTATTCTCAGTTCCTACACAATCTCATCCAGTCTTGTGACTTTAAATAGCAAAGATGACTCCCAAACTTTTTATCTCCAGCCTGGACCACTCTGCAGAATTTCAGACCTGCTTATCTAATTACTAACTTGACATATCTACTTCAATATATTATATTATATTATATGTTCTACCTTGAACATATCCAGACCAAACTCCTGATATCACCCCATCCCATCAGCCTAGGTCCTTCCTGTAGTCTTGCCATCAGGTAAACACCAACTCAATTCTTAGCCTTGTTTTTTGTTGAGACAGAGTCTCACTGTGTGTCACTGGGTAGAGTGCACTATTGTCACTGTAGCTCACTGCAAGCTCCAACTCCTGGGCTGTAAGCGATCCTTCTGCCTCAGCCTCCCAGGTAGCTGGGACTACAGGCGGGCGCCACAACGCCCAGCTGGGTTTTATTTTTTTTTTTTTCTTTTTGGTAGAGATGGGGTCTTACTTTTGCTTAGGCTGGTGTCGAACTCCTGAGCTCGAGCAATCTTCCTGCCTCGGCCTCCCAGAGTACTAGGATTATAGGCATGAGCCACCATGCCCAGCCAACACCAACTCAATTCTTCTAGTTACTGTGACCAAAAACCATCACGTCATCCTCAACTCTTCTCTTTCACACCCTGTATTTTGGGCAGTGAGCAAATCTTGTCAGTTCTACCTTTAAAACATACCCAGAATTCTATGGCTTCTTACTGCACTCACTGCTACTGTTCTGGTCTACAATCACCTCTTACTTGATTATTGCAATAGCCTCCTACCTGGTTTCTCTGTTTCTGCCCCTGTGCATTCTGTGCCTCAACACAGCATCCAGAGATCCTATTAAAACCCAAGTCAGATCATGGTACTCCTCTGCTCAAAAGTCTCCAATAACTTTCCATCTAACATAAAAGTCAAAGTCCTTTCCATGACCTACAAAGCCCCATGTGATCTGGACCCTCACAACTTCTCGAACTTAACCTCCTGCTACTTCTCCTTACATTCATTCCTTTACTGCTACTCTTGCCTCTTTAATGTTTCCTGAAGTTTTTAGTAATCTAGTGCTGCAAAACAAGCACCCTAAAATTTGGCAGTTTAAAACAACCATTTACTCTTATGGTTTCTGTTGGTCAAAACTTAAGAAAGGGGTAAGGAAGTCTCACTCAGGGTCTTTCCACAGGTTGTAGTCAAGATTTAAACTGAGGCTGCAGTCATCTGAAGGCTGGAATGGAGCTGGAGAACCCATATCCAAGGTGGCTCGCTCTCTTAAGTGGCCAAGTAGGTACTGTCTCAGTGAGAGTCCAGGGACTTCTCTACAGGCAGCTTGAGCGTCCTCACAACACAGTAGCTGGCTTCCCCCAGAGCAAGCGATCCAAGCAATCAAGGAAAAAGCTGCAATGCCTTTTATGACTTAGCTTCAGAAGTTACACATCATCACTTCCACGGTATTCTTTGATCACACTGGGCCAGCAATAACCCAATGTAAAAGGAGATTAAGCAAAGGTGCACATACCAGGTGAAAGTTACCGGGGCCATCTACCTATCACACATTAATCGGCCAGGCATGGTCCCACTTCTTGGCATTCACACTTGCTGTCTCCTCCGGCTTCAAATTATTTTTCCCCAAATATCCATATGGGCAGATCCTTCACTTCCTTTACATCTTTTATGACAGTATCTGTTTGCTGAGGCTTGATCTGGCCCCCATCTAACATTTTAAACCTGTCTATCCTCCATTTTACATGCCCCTTTCCGACTCTACTCCCCCTCCTTAGCATTTATGGCCACACACATGTGCACAAACATTTTAACTTATTCATCTTGTTTATTGCTTGTCTCCCATCGAGAATGTCAGCTTCATGTGGGCAGGGATTTTTCAGTGTTTTTCTCTCACTAATGTACTCTGGCACCTAGAACAATACCTGGCACATGAGAGATGATCAATAAATATTGTAGAACAGTCAAGGCTCAGAGTCTTAAGGATAATTTTTTCCATGTACCTTTTTAAAGGTAATCATCAAAATAAGCATGGACAATCTTACCAAATACATACCTACTTCCTTTTCTACTGGAATGAGAATAGAGGGAGAAAAACTAAAAACAGGATTTTTCTAAAAACCTTTCACTTTCAAATTTACCTTCTTAAATTGAGCAGAATTTTTAAAAATACATAGGTATATCAAATATGTTTTAATCAGATGGAGAAAAAAGTCTTAGCATTCAAATTAAATACGCTATTAAACTGCTGAATGACTTTCACAGGCTTAAATATTATACATTTTAGTTTTGTTAAGTAAAAAAACAAGATTTATTTAAAGTTTTTATATTTGCTAATAATATGAAGCTATAACAGCATTTTAACATATAGCTATAATATTTTCTTGAAATGGTGTCTATACGTACTTGACAGCAGTCCAGCCCACCACAACCATTCTTTAAGATATGCATGGCCACCTTGACCTGTGAATGAAGAAATATTTGACATCTTTAGAAGATTATCAGCCTCTTGTACAAATTATGACTACTAATAATAACAGATTTAAAAACATCTCAGTTGCTGATTATTACTACTTTATTTTTTGTTGTTGTTTTTTGTTTCTTTGAGACAGGGTCTCACTTTGTTGCACAGGCTAGACTACAGTGGTGTCATCACAGCTCACAGCAACCTCAAACTCCTAGGTTCAAATGATCTTTCTGCCTCGGCCTCCCAAGTAGCTGGACTACAGGCACGTGCCACCACACCTGGCTAATTTTTCTATTTTGTGTAGAGACGAGGTCTTCCTCTTGCTCAGGCTGATGGTGAACTCCTGGCCTCAAGCAATTCTCCCACCTTGGCCTCCCGCAGTGTTGGGATTACAAGTGTGAGCCACCTCACCCGGCCTATTACTACTTTAAAGGTTTCTGCATGACTGCTTAAGGGGATTTCTTAGATAATAATTTTATGATTATCTTGGAAAAGGGGATGTGAGGATCATGAGAATGTTAAAAAATGTTTAGGTTTATACTAAACATTGAGTGATCCTGCACTTGAATGAAGGATTTTTTTTTTTTTGAGACAGAGCTCGCTTTTGTTGCCTGGGCTAGAGTGAGTGCTGTGGCGTCAGCCTAGCTCACAGCAACCTCAAACTCCTGGGCTCAAGCGATCCTCCTGCCTCAGCCTCCCAAGTAGCTGGGACTACAGGCATGTGCCACCATGCCCGGCTGATTTTTTTCTATATATTTTTAGTTGTCCGATTAATTTCTTTCTATTTTTAGTAGAGACGGGGTCTCGCTCTTGCTCAGGCTGGTCTCGAACTCCTGAGCTCAAACAATCCGCCCGCCTCGGCCTCCCAGAGTGCTAGGATTACAGGCATGAGCCACCGCGCCCGGCCTTGAGTGAAGGATTTAAATCAATCCTTATATTCAGCTCATACTTCCTTCTTTTGTTTTGTGAACTCAGCTTGAACAAAGTAAAGAAAATGAACCAATAAGAAGAGCCCAACTTCAAATCAGTTAGTCTGAAAGTGGATAAGCCATTTGGGTGTGGGTAAGCCCCACTTAGGAGGCAGTAACCCTGGAGACAGTGGTCTCTATGCTGACCAGATGTAAAGAGCAGGCACTTCTCACAGTCTGGGCTGCCAGGACGCACATCCTGCTTTTTCCTTGGCTTTCCTCTTGATCAAACTAATAGTCAGAAAGCAATCAGTACTTAAGCCACTGTCCAAAAGAAAGGCCAAGGTGTATCCTTTACAAGCATATCCAGCATGGACAATGAGAGTACCTGTCTTAGGACAAAAAATGAGGGATACGGAATAAGCAGTAGATGCCATACTTTCTCCTCTGTTCACTAAAACCCAGTAGAGGCCACTGTTTTATGTTTTAAGACTGCTGAATTCGGTTTAGCTGTGGAGATGACACAGAGAAGAGAGTAAGGTCATATTTTTTACTGCCAAAGTAGGTATATTCATGAGGTCTAATTAGGTCTAGAATTGAGGTACAGGCAGAACCATGGGATGTGACCATAAGGCTACATAACACTGACAGCTGTCATGAATGCCTCACACAGAGGTGTCAGTGGGGTCAATCACACTGACTATTCCCCAAGGTCTTGTGACTTGTCAGCAGTTCCTGGGGAAACAACCTACAACATTCAGAAATTCACTGAACTGGGTCCTTCAAGCCAGGGAAGCTCTCTTTCCTTCCTGCCAATTTGAGATCATCAAAAAAATGTCTAAGGTAAAAGTCAGACTTTTACTTTACTCTCATGAACGAAAGATCCCAGCCTTCAATAAGCTGATTCTAATCGTGGACCCTTATTTCCTTCTCTTAAGACACAATGAAACTTAAAGAAAAGGCTAGATGTAATTTGCCATTGGTCCCTGTTTCCACTTTGATAATAACTGCAGGAGTTAACTAATTTTGACATCTTTTCACTTGTTATTTTTCTCATGATGAAACTGATGTTTGATTCTCTATAAACATTTACAACTCTTGAACAGTCCAAAGTTTCAAATATACTTACTAGGAATGAAGAGGTGGTCTTCCACAAAGAACATGAGTATGTAAGTACACACTGATGTCATTTCAAAGTGACATAGGGCATACACACCCATGGAAGTTCACCCAAGTATTCTAAAGGACCTAGTAACTCTCTAGATTTTTCATCTCCATGGACTGTTACTTGGTTTTAGAGGCTGACTTTGTGTTTAAGTTTAGGCTGACTGTGGCAGTGAGTCCTTCTACTTTAATTATCTCTGATTAATGAGAAGGGAGGCAGACCTAATGTGTAACCAATACATCTCCACCAAGCAATAGCCAAATAGCACACCAGCACTCCACACAAAGAAGCCTCCTGAAAGATCACGTAGCAGAGTCCCCAGTGGCATCTAGCAGGATGTGTGTGCCGAACTCGGGAGAGAAGCTGTGCCTCTGTGGGTAGTACCATAACATTTTAAAATGCAAAACATCATCTGTCACATTAAATTCAGGTTAATTTGAAAATTATTTGTTTTCAATTTATGTGGTTTTATGTTGTAAAGAAACTATAAGCATACAGAGATAAAACTTATTTGATGTTTTACATATCAAAGTATACCTATACAATGATTGTAAATTTAAATAAAAATAACAAAATTATTTAATCCATCAAAAAAAAAAGTGACATAGGGCATAACACGTACCTGCTCTCATAGAGCCTTTTCTAGCAAGTCGCAGAAGACCTTTTTTTTTCAAAATGAAACTTCCTCCAATGAAAATGCTGGAGCTCATAGCCAATCCCAGACCAATATAAAAGTCATATTTTCCACGCCCCTGGCTCATTTCGTTTGTTACTTAAGAGGTTCCTGTGAATCACATTGATCACAGAACAGAGAAACTGCTGATACTAGAGGCAGGATGATGCAGTCTCCAAATCTAAACAATACAAAATGAAATGAGAATTTCATACAATGATCATGACAGCTCACATGCAATTCAAAATTTTACTCCATTTCTCTTATAAAGGAAAAATATTTTCATTACTAACATTGATAATAAATATATTATTTAAATTTAGCACCAATTTTTCCAGTTGTGGCAAAAGATGGGATCACGATACGAAACCAAGTTTAAATTGATTTTATCAACTCTGATTCTGTATTTAAAAAAAAAGTTTCCAGTCTTATCCAATAGTCCATTGTAATCAAACTTTGCCAATGAGGAAAAAAAAAAAAACTACAGAATAAAAAATCAGGCCTAACAATATACAAATCTAGTTTACAAACACATTTATCAATTTCACAAATGTATCCTTTTGAATAATCTACACAGAGAAATTCAAAATTTTCCACCCATACATTTTCTTCTTAGAAATATATGTGGATATAAGGTAATTTATTTAGCCCATTTGGGGATGTGTTGAGAGAAAGCAGATTTTACATTATCTTGTTAGCAGAGGATGACTCCTTGTAAGGTGCGGGATGTGGCATTGGTGGCCTGAGAACATGAGGACCTAGACGGTTCAATCCACAAAACCACCTGCAAATTTTTTTTCCAAATAGCCAGTGTGTGAGCTCAGCTGACAAATGAACTAAAGCAAAGCATGGAGAGCAGAGAAAAAATAGTACTTAGCAACAAGGCTTACGATTGGTTATAATTAACTGTCAGTCCAACTTTCCAGTATGTCTTGGGATTTTTAGTGCCACTATTTAACTACTGAGTCCCAGAACTAATCTGCAATTCATTTAGGATCCTCGCTAACTTGCCAAGTTTTTTCATTCTTCAAGTTACAGATGCTGGCATTTAACCAAATCAACTTAAACTCCTGTGCACCTAGCCCCTCAATTACTTTATCTGCCCACCCAAATGGTATTTACTGCATGTACGATGCTCTACGTGCTAAGCATTATGCTAAGCTCTCTGGATAAAATGGTGATCGCTTTTAGTCTTAATGCTTAATGATTAATAGCTTTAGTCTTAAGAGTCATTAGGGAGATAGATAAGACACAGTTGAGTAGGGGGTGATAACATACGAATGATAAACACAGTATTATTACACTGAGTTGGTATCAGTCCAAACACAAGTGTTTTTAATTTGCCTGCTGAGGAACATTATGGTTCCTGTACACTTCAATGAGAAGACTATTCTTCCTAACCCCAGTGATTTGAGGCTTGGCCATCAAGCATGCTTTGTCCAATGGGAGGCAGGTATAAGTGACACTGCGCCAGTTTCCAGTCCAGACCTAAAGAGGCCCCTCATACTTCAGGTTGAACCTTTACACAGCCATCACCATGTGAAGAGCGTGCCCTGGGTAGCCCACTGATCACCACAAAGTGAAATGCACAGAAAAGAATTATGCCAGCTGACCCACAAAACTGTAGTCTAACTGCTGGGGAGGATCAGGCAGGAGTGCTTGAGTCCAGGAATTAGAGGCTGCAGTGAGCTATGATAGTGCCATTGCACTCCATCCAGCCTGGGTTAACAGAGTGAGACCCTGTCTCTTTTAGAAAGAAAGAAAGAACGAACGAAAGAGAGAAAGAAAAGGAAGAGAAAAGGAGAGGAGAGGAGAATGTACTAGTATTCTAATGAGGAAAACCTAAATTAAGATTTGCTTTGCAAAATCTTGATCATAAATGCTTATTCCCATATGCCACTGAGATAGCTAACATATACATGAATAGGTTTATTATGCTAAGTATAAAATTTCCACCCTGGTTTTAAAAAACCAAAAATTATCTGCAGAAAACAGAGATCCCTATTAAAGCCAGGTGATGGGTAAACAAGGGTTCACTGTATTTGATACAGTTTGGATGTTCGTCCCCTACAAATTTCATGTTGAAATCTGAGTTCCGATATTGGGAGTGGGGCCTGGTGGGTGGGATTTGGGTCATGGGGGCAGATTCCTCACAAATGGCTTGGTGCCCTCCCTAAGGTAATGAGCATTTTATTTATGGTCAGCCTCATAAAATAAAATTCTCAAGTTCTGTCTTCGAAGATAAACGCTTTAGGTTCCTTAAAGATAATTACTTTGGTTCTTTGCGGTAGTTTCCCCACAAAAGGCATTCATTTATGATGGCAAATTTGATTTGTAAGCCTTTCTAGAATTAAGGCTATTTGGTTATTTGTTCACTCATGGAACTATACCTGTGTGTATATATGTGGGGAAGGGAAAGCAACAAAAAATTTGCAAGCCTTCAAATTATAAAGTAGCTTTTAGTCACTAAAATAAGAAAATGAATTATCTCATTTTGACTTACAGTTTGAAAACAGGAAAACAGTGTGAATGGCCCAAAAGGAATGTGTTGCGTCGTTACTCTCAGACTTGGTGACACTCTGCTCCCACCCTCTGTAACTGAAGGTCAATCACAGCCGGGACAGCCTGCAACAGACAGATTTTTATTCTTAAGGATTAGTCATGAGGCAGGGGCAGGCTTAAAGACAGCTAAACAAAACTTTGCTAAATTTCACTTCAACTAGGTTCCCAAACCAGAGATGACAGCTGGTAACCTGCCCACTTTACTACTTAGAGGGGTGCAGGTGGAGTAACCCCTATTAGGTTTATTTACATGTGGCCATTTGTTCAATACACATTGAGCAGCTATTATGTGCCAGACACCAAAGTTATAAAGATGATCAAAGGTCCCATCCTCAAGGACTCCACAGCTGAGAGAATTAAACATTCTAAAAATAACCTACTGAAATTTTAAACACACTTGTAAAGACTCTCAGAATTTTCAGCTTGTTCTAAATTTTAACAAACTTGATTTTCACAGTTGATTTCACTGATATTTATGAATACTTATAATGTAAACTTTCATTAAATGAAAGCATATCAAAAAAGGAATAAACACATCTCAAAGAAAATAAAATGAAATTGGTCTACCTTCTTAAACAATGTGGAGAACAGGTAATTTAAGGAACAGGATAAAATGGTCTAGTGGCCAAGCACAGTGGCTCATTCCTGTAATCCCAGCACTTTGGGAGCCCAAGGTGGGATGATCACTTGAGCCCAGGAGTTTGAGACTAGCCTGGGCAACATAGAGAGGACCTGTCTCTATTTAAAAAAAAAAAAATTAGCCAGTCATGGTAGTGTGTGCCTGTAGTCTAACTGCTGGGGAGGATCAGGCAGGAGTGCTTGAGTCTAGGAATTAGAGGCTGCAGTGAGCTATGATAGTGCCATTGCACTCCATCCAGCCTGGGTTAACAGAGTGAGACCCTGTCTCAAGAAAGAAAGAAAGAAAGAAAGAAAAGAAGGAAAGAAAGGAAAGAAAGGAAAGGAAGAAAGGAAGAAAGGAAGAAAGAAAGAAAGAAAGAAAGAAAGAGAAAGAAAGAAAGAAAAAGAAGAGAAAAGGAGAGGAGAGGAGAATGTACTAGTATTCTAATGAGGAAAACCTAAATTAAGATTTGCTTTGCAAAATGACTAACAGTAAACAACACAATCGCCAAAGTCAGCAAACTTTAAAAATTACACCAACTGAAGTACAAATACAGCTTTACACTTGTCATAGTACTTCTGACATTTTGCTTTCACAAAGGCTTGAAAAGATATGTGGTAAGGGCCCATGATGAGGTGACACAGAGATGCTAAGGAACTTGTCACCCAGTTGGGGTTAGCACACGTTCCTCACCCTCAGCCTTCTGTCCTTCCCAATGGAGTCTCCTTTTAGTCCCAGAGGCAGAACACAAGCAAGTTGCAGCTCAGACCAGGCTCTCAGTGCAAGTGGTCTTCTGTGCCCCGTCTGCTCCTCCCTGCACTCTGACAATGGCTTCACCATCCTCATCACCCAGAGTGGACACAAGGGCCAAGAGTACCAGATGTCTTCTCCCTTTGAAATGCGGTCTTGCGCCTGCTCTGCTGACCAGACCCCGCACCTTCGTGTATCTCTCAACCCTGGTCCAGCTTAAACGCATGATACTGCCGTACTGCAGTATCAAACACATCTCTGCCAGTCTCATTCTTTTGCTTAAAAATTTAGAATGATTACCAGCTGTTGACAGCAAGAAGTCCAAATTTTGTAACCTAGTAACTAAGACCCTTTACCATCAGTTCCAAATATCTATCTTTTAAATTTTATCCCCCAATACCGTTTCACAATACCCCATGTTCTACCCACATCAGCACACTGTTGCCATTCTAACCTGTTCCTACTTTTCCTCCTCCCTATTTTTGTCTACACTACCCTCTCAGTTCAAAAAGCACCTCTGCAAGGAAGCCCTGCTTGAATTCCACAAGTCAGAGTCATCACAAACTTTACTGAATTCTGTAGCCTTTACCCTACACCTCTCTTTGGACACTTCTAGTCTATATTTCGGTTACTTATGTACATAACCCATATCATCTTCACTGTGGCTCCCTGTAAACAGGTGGTTTGCCTGTATCATTTACTTAACCAACAAAGATTTACTGAGTACATACTATACTCTAGGAATAGGGGTACAACAGTGAATAAAACAGACCAAAACCCTAACCTCATGGAGTTTACCTTCTGTTGGACTTAGGGTGAAACAATAAACAACAACAAGTGAGAACATTATATTGGAAAGTGGTTAAATGCTATCGTGAAAATAAAGCCCATTAAGCTCACTGGGGAGTTGTATTTTAATTAGGGTGGTTAGGAGGATTTGCTGAGGAAGTAATATTGAGCAAAGGCTTCAAAGAGATGGGAAAAGAACAAAGTGGAGAGAGAAAAGAAAGTGCAGAGGTTCTTAGGTACAAGCAGGTGTACAGTTTTCTAGGAAAAGAAAGGCCGCTGTGGCTTACCCTGAGTGAGTGAGGTAGGTGAGATACCATGGTAGAGTAAAACGGTGAGTGCCAGATCATGTGGGGGCCCCACAGTCTATATGCAAATCCCAAAGACATGGAACAGATCCATAATCCTTTTGCCAGGTCATAATTTATCTTCCTCTGGAACCATTATAGAACTTTAGACAGTTGTTCTAGTTCAGGTTTACTTACATAAAACAAATATAGTCAGATTTACAGAAATGTTTAATGCTGAGCATGCTCTAGTCTGAGGGGTGCTCTTAGTTCTACAATACAGAGAGGTCCTCTGTTTTAGTTTGTTATCAGGTAGGGGCTTCTATTTATTTTTTAAATAAATTTGTGTATATTTGAGGTTTACAATACGGTGCTACAGGATACATATAGTGAAATGGTTACTAGAATGAAGGGAATTAACATAACTATCATTTCATATAGTTACATTTTTGTAGCAAAAGCAGCCAAAATCTACTCAAAAACCCCTAATACAATGTTATTACCTATAGTCCTCACATTGTACACTCCATCCCCAGACTTGTTCATCCTCTATATCTGCTACTTTGTACCTTTGACCTACATCTCCCATTCCTTCCCCACCTTCACCACCCAGTAACAACTGCTTTATTCTCCAGAGAAGTCTATCTTTCTGCTCAATATCACAATATACACCAAACAAATCAGAGTTTAGATGAAGACTATACCTTCTACGAGGGAAAAAATGTTGTATTTAAAGTCGTGTGTTTTAAATACAAGTGAACTAGTTTATACATTAAAATATGAGGTCTGTCCAGAAAGTATCCAGCCACGTAATATGAAAAATGGAGCCATTTACTGAAGAAGATACAAGATACACTGTACACAGGACAATAACGCCTCAGTCCCCTTCAAAGTAGGCACCTTGGGACCTCACACATTTCTCCCCGCATCTCTGCCACTGTTCAAAACACTCTGCAAAATCCTTTGTTGGAATCACCATCAGCTGCCTCACTGTATTTTCCGGAATCTCATCAATGGTGTGAAATCTCTTCCCTTTCAAAGGTGATTTTCGTTTTGGGAAAAGACAGAAGTCACAGGGCGCCACATCTCGGCTGTAGGGGGGCTGAGTGACCTGGGTGATTTGATGTTTCACAGAAAACTGCATGAGACCAGACGTGATGCATGGGCAGGCACGTTCTCACACAGAAGCTGCCAATCACCAGTTGCCCATAGCTGTTACCCTTTTTGTCGCAGTCTATCTCTCAACTGACAAAGATCACTGAGGTAGTGCTCCTCATTGTTTGGCCCAAAAGAGCATACTTATGATGGACAACAACTTCTGAAACCAAAAAACACAGTTAACATGGTCTTGATCTTGCTGCGACTTTGCCGTACCTTCTTCGCGTGTGGAGAACCAGGTGACTTCCGCTGGGACAACTGGGCCTTCGTTTCCGGATTCATCTCCTTGAGAAAGTCTAGTTCACTGGTAGTGGTTTGAAGCAAGTCATTAGCAAATGCAGCATGATGTTCCTTCTGCTCTGGTAGCAGAAGCCGTGAAGCACGTTTTGCCACTACACATTTCGTGCCAAGATCATGCATCAAAATCTTGGACACAGTAGTTTTTGGAATCCCCAGATCAGCTTCTAGTTCTCACACTGTCAGTGGCTGATCTTTATTGACTGCAGCCCGTACATGTTCAACATTCTCAGGTGTTCTGCTTGCTTCAGGCCTTCCAGAACATGGATCACTTTCCAACAGATTCTAGACCATCTTTGAAGTGTCTATGCCACACTTTTATTTGCACTGCACTCACTGCATTGTCCCCAAAAGCCTTCTGAATCATCCAAGCAGTTTCCTTGGAGGAATGTTCACGCTTAATACAAAAGCTGATGCAAATTCATTGCTCTACTTGCTCAGTCATTTTGAATGCAGTGGCCACAGAGACACATGCTTACCCAACAGCACCTAGCACCCTACTGACTAGTACAGTGAAGTCATCATTGTTCACATATACGCTACAACAGTCCACTCTCCTTGGCTGCCAGGTTACATCAATGTTGTGCAAACCGTTCTCGTTATATTAACAATGGCTGAATACTTTCCAGACAGCCTCATATCCTGAAAGTAAATGAAATTCTTTTTTATTATTATCTCTCCCTAACAATAACAGCTACCAGTTATTGAGCACCTACCTAGGTCCTATTCCAGTGATTTATAGCCATCATTTCTATTCTACACAATAATGAGAAGATGGCATCACTATCCCCACTTCACAGCTAAAGAAACCAAACCCTCCAGAGGTAAAATCAAATGTAGAGAATCACACGGAAAATAAGTGGACTCTACTTCTGCAATTGGCTGCCACGTCATATCAAAACTTTAGAGTTCTCGGTCTTTACTTCTGCTTGGTTTTCACTGCTATCTAAAGTCAGCTTTAACTTTTTTCTAACCTCTCATTTGGCTAATTATTCTTACAGGCAGTACTGTACTTATAAATTCTACAGCATCTAAATTTCTAGCCCTAATTTAGCAACATTAGTTATGAATTAAAATTTTAACTTATTTGAAAATTTAATATTGTCTCTATTATGAAAAAAAAAAGGCTGGAAGAGATTAGAGATGATTTACTCACTCTCATTTCCCCGTAA